ACCCCAAGCCCCCGCAGCGGGAACCACAGCCCCCACAGCCAGAGCCACAGCCCCCACAGCTGGAGGAGGAACAGGCTGGCACACAGCAGCACACGGGCTTGCAGCAGCACACGGGCACACAGCAGCTGGAGCTACAGTCCCCACAGCTGGAGCCACAGCCCCCACAGCTGGAGCCACAGCCTCCACAGCTGGAGCCACAGCCCCCACAGCTGGAGCCACAGCCTCCAGAACAGCCACAGCAGCCCATGGTTTTGATGGAGTTAGGGTAGAGTAGGTCCGAGGAGCAGGTGGAGAAGGAGGGTTCAGTGGGGAGCTTCCTGTGCTAGGGCCTTTATATCCCTGTCCAGGGCTCAGGTGAGGCACATGGCCACTTCCTGCTTCCTGTTGGTGCCATTTTCTCCAGGGAAACTTTGTTGGCTTAATCCTAAAATAACCTCCGTGGTATAGTTTGGAACTTTTTGTTTAGTTCACGATTTTCCTCATGTTTTCTGAAGACTAACAAAACCCCTGAAACAGGGAATTTAACTTCGATGCTGTGTTTATCTTTGCTCCCTGTACTCATGTCCTGGGGCTGCTATGACAAATGGCCACAAACTGGTGGTTTAAAGCAACAGAAGTTTCCTCTCTCACAGTTCTGGAGGCCAGAAGTCCCAGATCAGGCATCAGCAGGGCCTTGCTCTCTGGTCGAAGGCTCTGGGGCGGAGCCCTCCCAGTCTCTAGTGGCGCCAGGAACCCTTGGCTTGCAGCTGCCTCACTCCAGCCAGCCCTGACCCCACGGCCTCACCTTCTATCTGCCTCAATTCCCACTCCTTTCCCTTGTAAGAATGCCCGACATCGGGTTAGGGCCGACCCTGCTCCACTGCAGCAGGCCTTACTTCCCCAGAAGGTCAGATGGACATAAATGGTGGGGGGGGCACTATTCAACCCTCAACATGACCCTGATCTCTCTCCGTGCTACCCTGGCTTCAAAAGCCCTAGGGAGAGGGAGTGTCTGTCGAAGGCACAGGGTGACATCTAAGAAGACTCCCTAGATCAAGCAATCGCATCTCATATTTCTTGTGGAAAGAACATGACCCAGGCATGGATGAGACAAAGGATCAGGACAGACCCAGGGCCAGGATAGAATCCAGGATAGGGACAAGATCCAGGCTCAGGATCAGGGCAAGCTCTGGGATCAAGACAGACTCCAGGGAGAGGACGAGATTGAGGATCATCATGGGATTTGGGATGACAGGATACCAAGATTAGGGTAGGATTCAGAGTCAGAGCAGGACTCAGGATCAGGACAAGACTGAGGATCAGGAGAGGACTCAGCACGCCTGGAACCCTGGTTATGTCTCGACTGGGAACTGGGGGTCTGGCTGTAGATCTGGTAACTATGGCCCTTCGGAGTGGTTTCTTTGAGATGGGATGAGTCAGGGCTTGTGTTCAGGGCTTACAGATGGTGTGTTGGCTAGCACCTGGCAAGACACAGATGGCACACCCCCACAGAAGGCAGAATGGGAGAAACAGTGGAAGTGGGCCACAGCCCACAGTAACCAGGAGGGAGCACTACTCCCCTGGATTTGACCAGTGGAAGACAGTAGTTCCCATACACACAACAATCCACAGGACCTTCAGTTCAGGAACAGCACCCTGAGGGCCCAGGATACACCAGTGATCTGGTGCCTCCATGTATGGGGTCCTTTGGGAACCCGGGGGAAAGAGAACCAGAGTGGTATGTCCTTAGAGGTCAGTGCTTGGGGGGAGGGCAGACTACAGCCCTGGAGGAGCACACGCAGAAAACCTGGCAATGATGCCTGGCTCCTGAATTTGCAGGCCCAGTGCAAAACAAAGCTACAGGGTCCCTTGTCCAACAGTGACTAAGAAATTCAAGATGGAATATCTAACCAAGTGCGAGGCCCTCATTGGGACTGTCCTCTGCACTTACAATCCTCCTTACCATCGTGTGTGCCTGAGCATCCTCGGACACTTGTGCATTCTTGTGCAATGTGTCATTTTTTTTATTTGTTTGTGTTTGTTTATTTCCCAGAGACAGAGAGACAGAGAGAGGAAGAGGAAGAAAGCACCTCCCACAGGACATGGTCATGCGGCAATCCTTTCTCCATCCTATTAGGATTTTGAGTGGACAAACACACACGCACGTATCTGGTGTGTCTCAAGCCACCAGATCTGAGACTCAGACCACAGTCAGCCATGTGGGATTCGGCTCCCTTAACCGCCAGGCTATAGGCTGGTCCTCGTTTTGAGATGTGTTCTTAATCCCACAGGTGGGAGTGTGCACAGGCCTTCTGCTAATCACCATCTTCCTTCAGCTCTGGGTCTGAACAGCCCTTCATACTGCTGTCCCATCACTGTCACTGCATCCATGACACTCCCCTTTCTGCCCCCAGGGACAAAGCATCAGCGACTTCCCTCATCCCTATCCTTTTAGGGGATCTAGTGGGAGCTGCAGGGCAGGCACATGGGCAAAGTCTAGTGTCCTGGGGAACAGCCACAAAGCAGCTCTCCTCCCAGCAGTCAGGTGACGCCAACCTCTCTGGTCCTCGGTCTTTTCATTTTCAAAATGGGATTAGCAGCTCTCTGCAGAGTTGTCTTAAAGATCACTCCTCATGGAAATGCAGTTGCTGGCTTGTCTTGGGCTCTCCCAACCCTGAAAGCACAACGGTCATTTTACTGTGTTGTTCTGAGCACCTGGCCTTGGTGGTCTCTCTCTTTTGACCCTTCCTCCTTCCCTAGCACAGTCCAGCTTTCCTTGTGAACTGGAGGGTCTAAGAGTTGAGGGTAACTGGTCTGGAGGAGCCCACCATAACGGAAAGGAACGCCGGGGACCCAGCACTGCAGTTGAGCAGTCCTTGGGCGCCCCCTGGTGGCAGTACATCCGGAGTCTGTGAACAAGTTGGGGGGTGTTCAGGGAAGACATGACTGTACTTTACAGGGGTTAAAGGCAAGGATCACAGGGTTCTGCCAGTGGACAGTCTGGAACTGGATCACTGAGCTCCCCAAAGGGCCGTGGCACAAAAGCTGGCCCCATGTGAGCTGTGAGCAGCCCTTGGCACAATGACCCCTGCCTGCCCAGGTATTCAGATCCCTGGACTTAAGAAGGTCTCTCCTGCTACCCTTTCCTCTGGGTATTTACCTTCTTGCAGAACTTTCTGGGAGCAGGAAAAGATTTGGCAGGAAAATATGGTAGACAGCGTGAGCAGAGCCAGGCCTGGGGAGTGGACCCCTAGTTTCTTCTCACTCTGTGCCCCGCCGGCCCTGGACCCCGCTCTGGATCTGTCTCCTCTGTGACCTGTACTCCTGGGCACTGGCCCATGAAAAAGCATCTCCTATCTCTGTGCCTATCTAGGTGCCTCCCTGTCCCTGTCTCATCGCTGGCATCTCAGTTCTTCCAGGTCCTGCACCTGAGTTGCCCTGTCCACGTTACTCAAGGAGTTGGCATGCCCCAGTTAGACTCCAGCCCTCATCATGACTTTCTCCAGGCTACGTATGTTCTTCTCCTTTTCTCAACTGTAACACTGCGATGGTAATAATAGGGCTTGCCCCCATTAATGAGAAAATGAAATGGGAAAGCTTGACCTAGGGCCTGGTCAAAGCTTGATCGGGATAGACAGGGCGCCACCTGGTGTCAATGAATGCACAGGGTGGAGGACCAGCGAGTGCAAAGAAAAAGAAGCCTTCTGTCCAGGGAGGAAACCAGCTGACCTCTGAGGTCTGGGATCTGTAGGAGTCAAAGGGCTGTGTCTCCAGTTGGTTAGGCATCCTGAGGCTCACTGAGACCCCTGGAGACTCTGAAGAGATTAGGGCCCTCCTCTCCCAGGTGACCCAGACAGTACAAAACCACAAAGGAGCTTAAGGATCCATTGAAGTTCTGTCCTTTCTAATCATGAGGACCTTGACGCTCTTTGAAAGGAAAAATAACACACCCTTCAAGTTCTGTTTCCGTGGGCCCCTCTTTCCAGGGCTCAGAGTGGGGGCTCAGCCTGCCTGCTCACACAGCTCAGCTGGGATGTCTATGGGAAAGTTCCTCTGGCCTCACTCCTGGTGACAGCCATGGTTTGCGTTTTGTTGTGTTGTCGGTATCAATTTAGAGTGGCTGGAACCCTCACAGGAGACGAGCTCATAGCTCACTAATAGCAACAGCAAATGCTCACATCCTGGTCTCCATCTCCTTCCCACCCTTGGCCCTGGGGGGCAGAAAGGTGGCGGGCTTTGGGAAGGTTGTAGACTGGCTGCCTGAGGGCGGCAGGACCTCTGGGAGCCTGGGCACCCTGGAAGCAGGTACCCACAGCCTCCTTGGGATGTAGGGGTGGCTCTAGCCTGTGGCTACTGAAATCTCAAACTTGACCTCCATCGTTCCACCCTGACCAGGGGCGGGGGGACAGTTCTCTGTTTTCTACCAGCCCATGGGGGCTTCCTTGCACGAGTCCCTGCCACTTGGCTGGGCAGTTCCAACTTAGCACCGTGAAGAATTTTCTTTTGCTTCTATTTAAACATACAAGTGCATTTGGAACTTCCTTCTTAGGAGGGTCTTGGGCAGAATGAGGAAAGGACCACACCTTCCCTATTTTCTCTCTCTTTCCAGACATTTATCAATCAATGTATTAATGACTTCCTTCTTTCTATTGTTTCATGATCCTGGAGTTAGTCCCCTTAGGAGATTCTGACAGCACCCAGGGTGGAAGGGTTCGTTTCCAAATGGAGCGAACCTGACCAGGTTGCCTGAGCCTCTGGGACACAGTTTCCTGATGAGCAAAATGGAATGAACACTCTTTTCTCTACCAGGTTGAAGATCCACCGTTGTGACAGCGGGTGTCCGTGACTCACTAGGGTGACTAGGCTTACATAGTAGCGTTCGGGCTGGTCTTCCCTGGCCTCTGTCCCTCCGTGGCTCTCTCTGTTGCTCTCTCCTTTCTCAGGCAATGTCTCCATCTGGGGTTAGGGTTCCATCTGCATTGTTCCTGAGCTCACTAAGCATGCCAGCTGAGGGCAGAGCTAAACCACAGAAACCTTAATCAGGTGGGGACAGCCTGAGGTATCCCGCCCCTCCCCTGCCCCACCCCGTACTGGTGGTTCCCAGTCTCCCTGCTGAGGCCCGCCCCATGGATAGAGCTGGCAGGGAGTGTCGAGACCTGAGACTCCATTTCCATGTGAGCACTTCCCTGACAGTGGCTACAGGAGCGCTGAGGACCCAGACCCTAGCAGCGAAGTGGGCCATCGATCTCATGGGTGCTGGTAGTGGTGCACAATCCAGGCCAGCGGAGCAGTCACCCCGCTCTTGGCCTTAGCTACAGGGTCTGCCCTGTCCACCTCTGGGTTGCTCGATTGCTCATCCCCTTCCTGCAGAAACCATTTATGCAGCCTTGGCTGCGTGCAGAGCCCTGGCAGAGGGGTGCAGAAAAAAGAAGTCATCCCACCGCAGGGGTGCAGGGCCTGCCTGAGGAGCGGCAGAACGTGAAGAAAAGTCTGAAGCCAGCACAGGCTGGCATAGGTGATGTGGGGCCATGCTGGCTGGATCAGGGCTGGGGCACATGGGACCAGGCCAGGGAGTTGACTTTGTCCTAGAAATGGGAAGAGTTAGTTATTTGGCTTGTTCCTTTCATCTATTTTGCATTATAGAAGTAATCCTTAAATCCATTGCCTGTTTAATCAGCAAAAAGAGTTACAGATACAACTAAAATGCCCTTTGATCCTTCCCAAAGTCCCAGCAGCCCTTCCAGTGATTAGGGGCACATCCCAGACCCAGGGAGGATTTAGGGAAGAGCTGTGATCAGATCTGGGGTTCTGTTCAGGGAAGATCACACACTGGGACTAGGCAGTGCAGGGGAGGGAAGGGGCTTCAAACACAAGGCCCTGAGAGGCCTGGTTTCCTGTGGACGATGGAAGAGGCTGAGGTAGTCAGGATGGGGTCAGCAGTGGGTCAAAGCAGCTCAGCGCCCTGAGGCCTGCATGTCTCAGCGGCCACTGGAAAAGCCCACCAGGAACAAGCCAGAGCCATGGCAGAAGTAAGGACCACCACCACTTCTGAGCCCCAAAGGGGGCTTCCTCAGAACCCCAGCCCAAGCCCAGACAACTGGAACCCCCACAGGAGCCTCAGCCTCCTAGACACTGCGGAAGCCATCTTCACTACCGCCTGCACCCTCTGGCAGTGAGTGGAAAACCAAGGCAGCTGCCAGTTTTCCTAGAGGAGCTCTGCTCCAAGGCAGAGCGTAGTCCACTGCAGAGAAGGGGTGCGACACTGCCCGTCAACGAAGA